TTTACTTCCAGGTACAGATCCTATATCTTTAACTCCTTATCGAATGGCTCTTGCTGAATTAAGGGAATTGAAAATCAAGTTGCAAGAATTAGTTGATAAAGGTTTTATTCAGCCTAGTACTTCACCATGGGAAGCTCCAGTTTTATTTGTGCGAAAGAAAGACGGGACTTTGAAGCTATGTATTGATTATCGGTAATTAAATTGGGTAACGATTAAAAACCATTATCCGTTGCCGCGTATAGATTTATTTGATCAACTTCGAGATGCCTTTGTATTTTCTAAGATTGATTTGAGGTCTAGTTACTATCAATTGAAGATTAAAAGTGAAGATGTTCTTAAGACAGCTTTTAGGACTCGATATGGTCATTATGAGTTTCTTGTGATGTCATTCAGGTTAATTAATGCACCTGCAGCTTTTATGGATTTGATGAATCGAGTATTCTAGCAATATCTAGACAGGTTTGTCATTGTTTTCATTGATGATATTCTGGTGTACTCTAAGTCTAAATCAGAGCATGTTCAACATCTCACTTTGGTGTTGAAGAAATTGAGGGAACACCAGATGTATGCTAAGTTTAGCAAATGCCAATTTGGCTAGATCAAATGGCATTTTTGGGACATGTTATATCAGCTCAAGGTATTCTGGTGGATCCTCAAAAGGTAGTAGCCGTTGAGAATTATGAGCAACCATGAACCGTCACTGAGGTACGGAGTTTTCTTGGCTTAGATGGTTATTATTGACGGTTTGTTAAAGATTTTTCAGTTATTGCCTTACCACTGACGAGATTGACTATAAAAGATGTTAAGTTTGAGTGGGATGATAATTGTGAGTAGAGTTTTCAGCAGTTGAAGTATTGTCTCACTCATACACTTGTTTTGGCGCTTCCAGATGATAGTGGTAATTTTGAGATCTACAGGGATGCTTCCTTGAATGGTCTAGGTTGTGTGTTGATGCAACATGGTAAGATGATTGCTTATGCTTCACGACAGTTGAAGCCTCATGAGATGAACTATCCTACTCATGATCTTGAATTAGCAGCTATATCTTTGCCTTGAAGATTTGGAGATATTATCTTTATGGTGAAAAATGTAAGATTTTTACGGACACAAAAGTCTTCAATATCTTTTCACTCAGAGGGATCTTAATCTTCGACAATGAAGATGGATTGAATTGCTCAGTAATTATGATTGCACGATTGAGGATCACCCTGGTCGTGCAAATGTGGTCGCGGATGCACTTAGTTGGAAGCCTCAAGGGAGAATTAATGCTTTGTACGCTTGTCATGTTCCTCTTCTTGCGGATTTGAGATCCACTAGAGTGAAGTTAGAGGTGGAAAAACAAGAAGAAGTTTTACTTGCTAATTTTCAGGTCAGGCCAATATTAATTGATCAAGTACTCGAGGCTCAAATGAATGATGAGGAAACCCAGGAATTAATTCAGGCAAGAAATGATGGGAAAGAGAAAGATCTAAGGATTAGAGAATCGAATGGCATGCTTATGCAGGAGGAAAGAATGTGTTGAAAGATGCAGAGTTAAAGAAAAAGATTCTTGATGAAGCGCATGTATCGGCGTATGCAATGCATCCTGGAGGTACTAAAATGTATAATACCATTCGATCATTTTATTATTGGCCAGGTATGAAGAGAGAAATTGCCGAGTATGTGAATAGGTGTGTCATTTGTCAACAGGTCAAAGCTGAAAGGAAAAAGCCATTTAGATTGATGCAGCCACTTCCCGTTCCACAGTGGAAATGGGAAAATATTACCATGGATTTCGTGTATAAACTTCCTACACATAATGGTTATGATGATATTTGGGTGATTGTGGATCGGCTTACTAAATCAGCGCATTTTATTCCAGTGAGGGAGAAATATTCTTTAAGCCGATTAGCTGAATTATTCATATCGAAGATGGTTAAATACCATGGGGTTCCAGTTAGTATTATCTCGGACCAGGATCCCAGGTTCACTTCTAAATTCTGGGTGGCATTTCAGGAGACTCTGGGTTCGAGGTTACTTTATAGTACGGCATAGCATCCCCAGACAGACGAACAGTCTGAGAGGATTATTCAAACACTAAATGATATACTAAGATCTTTGGTATTGCAGTTTGGCGACACCTGGCATCAGCGGTTATATTTGATGGAGTTTGCATATAATAATAGCTACCATTCGAGCATCGGTATGTCACCTTTTGAGGCACTTTATGGTAAGTCTTGTTGTACTCTTTTATGCTGGTCAGAGGTTGGTGAAAGTTTTTGTGGGTCCTAAAATTGTAAATGAGATTACTCAGAATATTCAGGTAATTAAATCTAACCTGAAAGCGGCCCAAGATCGACAAAAGAGTCTAGCAAACAAGCATACCACTGACCGAGTGTATAAAGTTGGTGATTGGGTATTTTTGAAGTTATCACCGTGAAGAGGTGTGGTACGGTTTGGAAAGAAAGGTAAGTTAAATCCTAAGTACATCGGACCGTATCAAATCACCGAGCGGGACGGTGAAGTTACTTACAAGCTTGAGTTGCCTCCAGAGTTATCTAAAGTGCACGATGTTTTTCATGTCTCGATGCTTCATCATTATGTTTCAGATCCATCACATGTGATACCTCCTCCACCATTGGAAATTAATCCAAATTTGACTTATGATGAGGTGCAAATGACGATTTTGGATTGGAAAGATAAGGTTCTGAGGAATAAGACCGTGCGCTTAGTGAAAGTTTTATGGAGAAATCACTCGGAGGAGGAAGCCACCTGGGAGATAGAGGATCGTATGGAGGAAATGTATCCACGCTTATTTTATGGTTATTAGTGGTTTATAATTATCGTGTGAATTTCGGGGACGAAATTTTCTTAAAGGAATAGGTTGTGACAACTCGTCCCAAAATATATTTTCGATAGTGTGAAATGTCTTTATTGTCCTTGAGCGTTTAGTGGTTGTGTGTGTGTAAACGGGCAAAGGATTTGGACCATGACATGTTTTTCCTAAGTTTTCAGACCCAATTGGAAGTAAGCTTTTGTTTGTTGGTTGGTAGCCTAAAACTGGACCACACACACACACACACACACACACACATACCACTCCCATTGACTCTCTCTCTCTCTTATCTCTCGAATTTTTCCCATTTTCCGTACAACCGTACCGACAACTCATAACCAACCCTTTCATATACTGATCGAGGTTGTGGTTGGTGTTTTTGGACTCCTTGCAAGCTCAGGAGTCTATCTATACCTTTGGTTGGACGTGAAAGCTTCGAAAGCTCAAAAACCAGGAAACCCCGAAGAGGTGCACAGTAACTTAGTCGTGATCGCGAAGATTTCATTGGGTTTTAAGATCCTAAGGAGCCTTAAAACTTGTTGTCGAAGCTTAAGGAAGGATTTTGAAGTGTTTTGGATGTTTGGAAGCTCGGGTTTGACAAGTTGCAGAGGTGGCCGGATTATTGTGATTCTTCCGGCGAGTTTCCATTGGTTTTAGGTTTTAAAAGTGGTAAGCTTCATTTTGATGGATTTTGGTGCTAAAATGAGTGAGAAATGATGGTTTGAAGGTTTCCCAGTTTCCAATGACACAGACAGCGACAGCGACGGAATCCAATGACTCATCGAAGAAGAAGATGAATATTCCGTCAACTTTGACAGAATATTCCTAACGGTGACTAACATCGTCAGGTATATTTAACGGTATATGATGATTTTTTACAGAATATTCCCTAACGCCGTTAGGGATTTCATTTGGTGTGCTAGGCACTTGCCTGCGCGTGGCGGCGCGTGTGGTTTTGCCTTGGCCGGCGCAGGAGTGATCGAAAAACTTTTCTTCAAATATGGGGATGTTCATGGGATTGAGTAGGCCACAATGGTATATTCGTATACCCCAATTGAGCAACGTATGAGAAGTTTTTACCTAGTTTTGGTTATGTACTTAAAATAACATTTAAATAGTTGTTTCGCATATAAGTGAGACCTATCGAGAAGAAGAGCGCAGTCAAGCGAGACTCATGGGTTACGACCCTTCTACATATCAGTAAGTCGGCTTTTGGTATATATATATACTTTGTATTTTTCCCAGAAAACTTAATTAAATGATTTGATATTTTGAAATGCCATGTCAAATGCCCTATGTTTGATTATGCATTAGTATGGTTATTTATATATTGTTGCTTACCGATGCGGACACTCAAGTAAGCTTCAGGTGAGTGTATTGATAGTAGTGAGTATGATTGTGTTGAGATGTATTTATAGCTCATTATCCTGCACCCCGGTGTTAGTGCTCCGCCCGAGGCAGGGCCTAACCTTCACGTGATCGTTCACCTCCCGCACCACACGCTTACCTTGGATCAAAGGCATGTGCCAGCCTATCGTATAGATCACATTAGATGGTTCCGACTTATAGGTAACTTGCGATACTTCGCACAGCTTTCAAGTGACCGTAGCACTTGAACGTATTTATGTACATTCAGCCTATCATACAGACCACATTAGGTGGTTCCGACTCATGTACAGAGAATTTTATTAAGGAGCTATAAACTCAGCCGTACATGTCACGTTATATGACTCCGACTTGCATACTATTTCATATTGGTTTATTTCACCTTTCTTATTTCTTTTTTAGATTTGACATGGTATATTCGATGAATTTGCTATTTTGAATATGATTTGAGATATAATCATGCATGCTATTTTTTTAGAATTATACATGTCTTACGACGAAGAATTATTACTTTTGATAATGAACGGTTTTGAAAAACTTTGTTTTTTTTTACCCACACTTTCTATTTTACGCCCCTCCAGGTTTTAGGTAAGAGTGCTTGTTGATAGCTTACGAGGATTTGACGAAGGTTCTAACAAATTATCACCAATGTAGGACCACCTTTAGTGTTGTATAATTAGTATTTGTCCTGTTAGACTGCACTGAGGCTACCTATTCTCTGATTGTGTGTATTCACACTTAAATCTTATTCGCATTTCGTTTTATCAATGTTTTTCTGTACTGCACACATGACTACGTCACCCTCATGATGGCCAGCATGCCTCGTTCTAAACCGGAGTGTGTCAGGAATCAAAACTCACCCAAAATTGCTATCAGGGTCCGTTGCATGCAATGCCCTACAATTGAGTACAAAGCCTTTCAAATATGCAAAGACTCTAAGCTCCAATTGTTCTTTCTCAACTCTAGTTACTTCAGCTGCATAACAGAAAGAAAAGAAAAAATTATTTAACTATAATTAACTAATCTGATTTAAGATTAATAAAAAAAGTTGGAAATTTCAGCTTTAAAATTACATCTCAGGCTGGAAGTCGAATAAAAACGTAGAATTTCAAAACTCCTCACCTTAAACACAGAGGCCTTCGCAGGGTGCAAAGAAATGTCAGAAATGTTGAAAAGTAAATTGCTTACTAATTTCAAGTTAGTAAATGATTTACTTATCTATTTTATCTTTGTTCTATTGAGTAGCTGTTTTATGATGTGATAACTTGTGCTCATATGCCAAGTGTATGGTCTTAGATCAGGACTCTTTTTCAATGGCTCATATGCTTTGTTCTGCCATGTGTCAAAATCACATTGGCTCATGTAATTGAATGGTTATGATGTCTGATGTAAAAGAAAGGAATGAATATGAATGAAATGTTGCTCTCTGCAGTGTAGCAGAGTTGCAGTTGTGAAAAACCTTGCCTCTCACTCTCTCTGTCTTTTCAGCTCCCTCTAAAATCCAATTCCTGTATATATCAGCTTACTAAAAACTTAACAAGAAACCCGAAAAACCGGATATCCTGAAACCAAAAAGAAAACCAAATTAAATCTGAAGCTAAAATTCCCAAAATCACAACCAAAAAATTTAAATGAAAAACTCGTTTATAAATTCAAATTTACACTTCCAAGCACATAACATTCAAAGCCCACACCAAATCGGCAGCAGGAAGCGCGATCCGCTCCAAATTTTCTGCAATCGAGACCAAACTGACTATTTTTTAGCAAGCAAGCGTTGTCGTCTGCAGCCTCCGACAAAAGGATCTAAACAAATTTTACTGACTTAACCATTTTTCGGAACAAACCGAGTCTTTACCTTTGCTTCTGGTGGATCTGGGAACTGGATCAATGTTTTGCTCTGAAACTGGAGGATCGAACATGGATCTGCGAGTTTGAGCGAAATATCATCCATGGGTTGTCTGAACGTTGCGATTCTTCCTAACCAAACAGAAAATAAAGCAACGCACGAACAAACACACCTAAACCAAAGCAATTCGTTCGTGGAAAACAACAAGACGATTGGAATCGAAACCAAAAGACAGACGGAGAAATAGAGAGAAACGGAAAGACAGAGAAGAAACGAAGAGGAAAGTGAAAAATGAAAGATACTGGAAGCATCTTTCTACACAAAACGCACGCACGGGAACAAATCGAAACCTCGAGAGTTCGTACACCCGTGGATAGCAGGGGCAAACCTGCCATTTCAATGTGCAAAAACCTGAAAAAAGGCACAACTATCAGCAATTGGAGGGTGTTTTCGGAACTTTACTGTTAATGAACAGTAAACCGGAGTTTGGATTTATATATATAAATTTGTTGTTTGAATATTCAACAAAGAGTTGTGTCGTGGACAAAGATTGGCATTTACATTACCAACACTTGGCTTGAGTGTTGGGTGCTAGGTGCTGGGTTGAACAACTTGGATTATTTTTAAGGAAAACTAATGAAAATTGCTTGAAAACTTTTATACTATATATGAGTCATCATTCATCAATACAAAGTAAGTGGTATCGTGGACAATGATAAAAAATTGTTTGTTGAATGAGAAATTAAGATATGACCGATTCTCCAGAAGCCAGACTAGATTCTTACATATGCTATTCTTAGATATGCAAAACCCAGAGAGAAAAGTCTTAATTTAATTAAGATCCACCCAGTTGACATAAACAAATATTTGCCCCATCCATCATCTCCAATTAAGCCTAACTTTAGGCCTAATGCATGTATATTAAGTCGGTTTATGAATTAATGTAACACTGATTAAGTTTGTATAAAAATTACTGTTTATCTTCTGTCAAGTAGTAGTTTTAGAGAAGTTGAATTTTAATAAAATTAATAAATTAAGATTGAGGGTAGTTTCTTATCCAATAGCCAATATGCCCACTTTTCTTCCAGCACTATGTCACATTATATATTTGAGTAGGTTGGATAAGATTAGTTTAATCCAATCCAATCATCCAAAGTTTGGTACTCAAAAGTAAAGATTGTATTATAGGCAAATAGATAATTACACCATAATCTTACTTACAGTAATAAGGAGGTAAATAGGCTTGAGGAATTTTGTGTGTTATTATTCAATCCTTGTGCATTTATTTATAGCAATAAGAAGGAGAGAAACTTGCTCTCAAAGTAAAACAAAGTCTAATAGGAATGATATTTTAAATCCTGAAAGATTCCTAATTTATCTTTACTTAAAATTTACACAATCACAACATATATTAGAACGTATTTCGTGCATTTTTGTTAGGATAACTAATCCTTGAATACACTTGTGATAATTAATCCTAGAGTCTCGACATCTTGTACTCGGCTTCATAAACTCATTTTTCTGGATCAATTGTGGTCCACTGGGCGTATGGGTGTCTGGTTTGGCCCAGCTGCTTACGTTGCGTGAACCTTTCTTTCGAGTCTCGACCTAAAGAAAAGAGGAAACACACAGGCCGCATGCCAATGTTAAAACGAGTCTGCCATTTGCAACGCAACGAGCAGTACGGCCATCTCCAACCAAATGGTTAAATATAATCATATTTAGAATTATTGTTCTGTAAAAAAATATTTTTAAATAAATATGTCAGCCTATATTCATTTACCATCTCCAAACAAATGGACTAAACATAACCTCCTCAATAATTTATTAGTTTTAAATTTATTGTTAATTTTAGTTAAACTACCATTAAATGTTTCCAAATCCAGTCATTGAATTTGAATCAATTATTGCAACTGAAGAGCTGGGCCAAAAAAAGTGGCTAAGAAGGGAGCTACATTCGGCTAGCCTGATGTCTCTTTGGCCAAATAATAACCTGGTAAGCTCCATATAATTATAGCCTAGCTATCAGTTGATAATGAGTTTTTGAACAAATCAGACTATTTTTTTACTTTTAGACCTTTAGCCCTCTTCGTTTGAGGAGAAATTATGCAATGATACTGCGTCACCACGTCAAAGGGATACTTCCACCTAAAATATGCCATATGTACAATATATTTACAGTTGGACTAAACATATGTTTTACTCTTACAAAATAAAAGTTAAAAAAATAGAAAATAAAATAAAATTCTACAGCCTGTCGCCCTTCCCTTTCTTCCCCGACATATATTTTTCTCTCTCTACAACTCTCAATTAATATTAGATTCGGAAAGAGTAATGTTAACTATCAATTGTTCAGAACCGTATTGAAGGTTTTTTGGATTTCGCAATCTGGCGTAGAAAAATTGATAGCCATAAACAAAGAACCTCAAGCCAGGGGAAAAAGGAAGGTTGGGTTTTGGGGAAGAAGGCAAGGTAACATGAGGTTTGGGGATCATCCTTTTTCTCTCATTAATTCTCTAAAATAATTAAACAAAGAAATCGTTGAAGTTGGGGCTTGGGGAAGAAGAAAAGTTGGGTTTAGGGAAGAACGAAGGCTGGGTTTTGGGGAAGAAAGAATGGCTGGGAAGACGTCGGGGACAGAGGGGGTTGGGTCGGAGGGGAAGAAGACCGTCCATATCCTTTGTTCTTTTTTTTTTCTTCTTTCTTTAAAGAGAAAATTATAACAATTGTCCATCAATTTTAATCCAATTGGAGTAATGGTCCCTCAATTAAAACTCATGACTATTGGTCCCTTTACTCATCAAAACGTGCAGCTATAGCCCTTTTCATCAACTTCAACAAAATTATGTCAAAATGAATCACGTGCCACGCACGTGAGGCTAAATCAAGGGAAAATATGAAAAACTATATGAGAAAAATTGTTGTAGCAATGATGTGGCACGTGAGGCTGAATCAAGGGCAAATATGAAAAACTATATGAGAAAAATTGTATAAGTGATTCCTCAACTTTAACCCAATTGGAGCAATGGTCCCTTAACGTTAATCTACTTGTAGCAATGGTTCTTTCAACATGACTTATTTTGACAGAAGTCTGACGAAGTTGATGAAAAGGGCTATAGCTGCACGTTTTGATGAGTTAGTGGATCAATGGTTACTGATTTTTAGTTGAGAGACTATTATCTAATTGATGTTGTAAACTTTCCTAGTTTAAGTGTGATTGTGTAAATCCTAGATTAGATTTTATTCTAGTTATTCTTTCCTATATGAACTTGTATTCCTTGGGGATGAAGGATTTATTCTCCCTCTTATTACTATAAATAAAGGCACTACGTAGGGGGAATAACACACACATTCCTCTACATAAATTGTGTATGCATTATATGCATAATTGTTGAATTATGTGAATTTGATATTGCCATGAATTGCATCAAATATATGTTCATTCCTTCAAATTATATATGCTTTGAATTAATTGAAAAAAAAAAGAAAAAAAAAGAAATCGAAAAACACTAGGGTTCTTTGAAACCTATGACCTCGGCCGCATAGGCTACAGGCCTGGGTGAGCCGTGAGACCATATGCCAGAGCCATAGGCTTCTAGTTTGAAACCCATAACACACCCGACGCCATCCATGGCGTCTTCTTCACTCACAGATAGGCCTGTAGCCCAATCCTGATCTTGGATCCTCGTCCCGACGACTTGTAGATTGTTTTCACCCCTTACCCCTGACGAGTTTTTGGAATCTCATCGGTTTTTCTTCAAAATTATGATTAATTTTCCTATGGTTTCTAACGCAAACGTTGAGAGTCTCCATTCTCCGGGTCACCATCGAACCCACAGTTTTGTGCTGTGGTTTTTGCTCCTAAACATGACCGCATGAAGAGGTGGCTCTGGTCGTTTTCTCTGGTGATGTTCACCCAGTGCACGTTGGGGTGTCTGGTTCGAAACCTAAGCCTATGTGGGCTTGGCCCATTCTCGGTGAGCGCCAGCCCATTGGGCTTTGGAGCTTTCCTTGGCCCAACACACCGGCCTTCCTAGGCCACGGTGTTCCTGTGTCTCGCATCATAAAGGATCACAGCTCGCGTTCGCGTATGCGTCACACCAGACCAAAGTCCTTCTCAGGCCTCTTATTTGAGCTTAAGCCTGCAACCCAATAATTTATGATGTTGGGCCAGCCTACATGCTAGGCTCAAGCCCATTCTAGCCCATTCTTGGGCCTGGGCTACACAGCTCCATTTTGCTCAACCCACCTGTGGGCTTTGGCCCATGTTTTTGGGCCTCAATCTTAATTGTTTATTTTTTAGACAATTTGGGTTTTATAATTTTTCACCCACACTTTAAATTTGGCCCGAAGTCCAAATAATTAATTCAATTATAATTATAGACCTGAAGTTCTATTTGCATATTTTCTTGTTGCATATTTCTGCGTATATATTTGCGTTTGTCTGTAATTCGACTTCATCGCTTTGGAGGTCTGTGAAATCTCGTTTCCTGATTCATTATTTAAAATTACGTATTTTAGTATTATTAATTTCAATGCGTTTAAAATTATGTATTTACGACGCATGTTTTTTGGAGAAGCACTTCGATCGCATATTGTTGAAAAAGGAAGTCACATGAGTGGCTGTAAAAAAAAAGAAAAAAAAAGAAGGAGGGAGATCAGAAAAGAAGGGGGAAGAAGAGAAACGGGGAAAGGAAGAGAGAACGAAAGAGAAAAGGGGGGAGGGCGCATCGAATCGGGAGAGGAGAGAAGGAGTGGATGGCCCAATCAAAGAGCCAGAAAGGAAGGAAATGAGAGAAGAGAGAAAAAGGGGAAAACCTAGATTCCCTTTTGACTTGTGATAGGAGCATATTTATGCGACTAAGTTAGCTTGTTCTCATGCATTTATGTTGTTATTCCTTAATTGTTTTTGTGTTTAAAGTCATTTTCGTGCAATTTCAGGTTCTAAGGACAAAGTATGCAATAAGGTGCATTTTGGAGCAGTTTTGGGCTTGGAATGGATAGCACATGCATGGAGCAAGGTGGATGGATGAAATTGAAGACTAAAGAGGCTAGGAATGTGTTAAAGAGAAAGAAGAATTAGTGTAAAAAGGATAAAGAGCTCAGCCACAAAGGGGTGTCACTCCACCATTCACCTTTCCATCATTGCCGTGCACCACCATTGCACTTCCTTTGGATTCCTATGCCTTGCATCATCATCCATGTTCCCTTCATTGACTCATTTGTTGCATCATTCCACTTCCTTTCCTTTATTTACCATGTGCACAATATCCTTTCACCTCCTTGCACTCATTGATTCACCACTTACTCACCTTTCC